AGCCACAGAGCCACCTAGTCAGGCTATTTCCCAGTGAATAAACGCAAAATCAATTCTAAACTTTTCCCCAGCCTGAAAAGATTTTGGAAACGGTCGAGTGCTGCAAAGATACACTGGAAATAAAAATAAAAGCGTCTCATATACACAGACCAAGTTTTTTATGACCCAAATTTCTATTGCTAGGGAAGAGGGTTGTTAAGTGAATCACTCGCAGTTGCTAAAAGTTAGCAGCACGACTGTTAAGTGAATCCAACTTCCCCTTTGATGTGGCTTGTGGGGAGGTCCCCAAAAGGGGATCACGTGACACACACACACACACACACACACACACACACACACACACACACACACACACACACACAGAGGACACTGAAACCGTCGTGAATATGAATCAGTTGCCAAGGGGCCGAATTTTGATCATGTGACCAGGGGAAAGGCTGCTATGCCTGTGTGAAAAACGATATATCAATTTTTTTTATTGTCTTTGTGACTTTGAACCGTCGCTAAATGAACTGTTGTTACTTGAGGACTACCTATATAATATATATTTATAGTAATTACAGTAGTGGCCAAAATTGTGGAACCCTTTTGGGGAAAGTGTATTTTTGAGGTTTGATGGCTAATACCACCACCTTTTTTTTTCTTGGAGTTTCAAGATAGTCCTAGTCCACTGCTGGAATGACCTGGAAATAGCCCAGACCTTCTTAACCCAATTGAAAATCTATGGAGCCGAGCCGACTAAAGAAACTTGTTAGTCAGAAGTTACCCAGCACTAAAACCCAGTTAATAGAAGCCATCCTTCAATCTTGGTTTCACATTATAAAACTGCAGAACTCAAAGACTTGGTTCACTCCACGTGAAGACGTAAGGCCGTCATTCATGCTAAAGGTTACCCAACGAAGTATGAACTGACGTGATAATTTTTATATATCTCATTTTTTCTACGTGTTTCCCTTTTTTTCTTTATACTGTAACTGCTACTCTAATGGCAAATCCTTCATAGTTTAGAAAATACACTTTTCCCAAAAGTGTCTGTTCTTCAGCCATCAGGGCCCTGCAGGATTCTGCTGTTCAAAATGTTGGCCTTGTTTCATTTTACAGGGATATTTTGGCCACTCGAAGGGTCAATACAGATGCTTAGGGTCTTCCAGAAGTTCCCCAAATTATCCTTGGCCCCATCACTTCTAGAGACCGTGCCTTAGTTGCCATGTAAAGCCAGGTGTGTTATTCAGACCGACAGTTTTTGTCTACTTTTGTAAGAAACCATCATTTACAAACCATTGTGGCTTGTTTTAAGCAAGTCAAGATCGTAAGCCATGATTGCCCAATTACTGTTTCTCGATTTCCACCACGGGGGTTGGAACAAGTGGCAGTGACAACCATCTACATATTATCTATCTATCTATCTATCTATCTATCTATCTATCTATCTATCTATCTATCTATCTATCTATCTATCTATCTATCTATCTATCTATCTATTTCTATATTATCACTCTTGGTCCAGGAGAAAGGTTAGATTATATACATGTAAACCAAAGTACACAATAGTAATTTAAAAAAAACAAAACACTTCCTGGTACATTGAAGGGAAATTTCTTGGGCAAAGCTGGTATGCGTAAACAGGAGAAATATTCTCTTTTCCGCTAAGGAAGTTTTAGAGAAATCAAACATCTGTGCATTACTATTATTTTTGCCTAAATTTAAGCCAGTGGTTTTTAAAGGCATGCTGTGTTCTTTGTTTAATTGTAGGTGCATTTCATGTCAGCAAGGTTGTAAGAAATGTGTGTTTAAAGGCTGCAGTATTTTCAGAACTTAATGAGGGTGATTAAAACCTTGCTTTAGGGTGTAATTCTCAGGAGCCTAAAAATACAAAACCGCAGGGAGAGCCGAAAGACTGGTAAGTCCTCGGTTTACGACTGTAGAGATCCGTTGCTAACCAAGATGGTTGTTAAGTGAGGCGTGTCCAATTTTTTTATTTTTTGGCACAGTTGTTAAGGAAATCACTGCAGTTGTTAAGGAAATATCACAGTCGTTGAGCAAATCCGGTTTTTCCCCCCATTGACTTCGCTTGTCAGGACCCGGTTGGGAACCTCTCTCTCTCTCTCTCTCTCTCTCTCTCTCTCTCTCTCTCTCTCTCTCTCCCCCTCCCTCCCTCCCTCCCTCCCTCCCTCCCTCCCTCTCTCCTGAATTGTGATCATGTGACTCTGGAATTTCTGTGACGGTGGTAAGTGTGAGGACTGGTTGTTAGTCACTTTTTTTTCCCTCAGTGCCGTGATAACTTGGAACGGTCGCTAAACGAACCTGTAAACATTAAGTGACTGTACTGTAGTGTCCCAGGTGAAAACAGCTGAAAATACAGTATATCTTCCCGCTTCAGTGGATGGCTGCACTTAACCCAGGTTTCCTCCCCCCCACACGCACAAATACTTTAACCTCTGGTTCTCTCTCCCCCTCTCCTTTCCCCCTCACCCCCATTTGTTCTATTCCAGTTGCTCTGCGTTAACTGGAAAAGTCCGTTCGGTGTCTGAATCTGCATTCATTTGCTCTGCCCGCATTGTTAATTTGGAAAACATCATTTGCTTTTGCTAACAAATTCAGCAGTATGCTGCAAAAGTTCCCAGTCAATGGTTTTGGGGGTTTTTTGGGGGGTGGGGGTTTGCAGCAGAAGGGCCTCTCTGGCTTGAAGTAACATTCTAGGCCAGGGGTCTCCAACCTTGGCAACTTTAAGACTTGTCGACTTCAACTCCCAGAATTCCTCAGCCAGCAAACTGAGGAATTCTGGGAGTTGAAGTCTACAAGTCTTAAAGTTGCCAAGGTTGGAGATCCCTGTTCTAGGCTGTACCTTGGAGGAAGGGCCAGCTGTGGGACGCGCCGTTGCATTTTCTGAAACACAACTCCTTCCTTCTAGAACAGGGGTCTCTCCAGACTTGTCCCAAAAGTGCTTTCTCAAGAGGCAACTGGACCTTCTGGATAAGAGAGTGAACTCTTGAAAATCTCCTTTGGGACAACTATGACCTGGATGGCTGAGAATCTCCATAGACATCTCCAAACTCGGCAACTTTGAAGACTTGTGGACTTCAACTCCCAGAATTCCCCAGCCAGCCATGCTGGCTGGGGAATTCTGGGAGTTGAAGTCCACCCATCTTAAATTGGCCAAGGCTGAGAAGCAATGCTGTCTGGGGAATTCTGGGAGTTGAAGTCCACAAGTCTTTAAAGTGGCCAAGTTTGGAGAGCCCCGTTGTAGAAGGCCGTTTGCCCTCAGGCCACGTAGATGACCCACTTCTTAACCCTGGTAATCCTTTCCCACCTTTAATTTAACGGCTTGGGGGAATTGACCTTAAAAACCAGTATCCTCCATTTAGGAGAAGCTTCAAATTCATTGAAGCAAATAATGACCTGCAAAGCTAGCAGTTTGCAGAAGTTTGTCCCCAAACACAGGATTTTGATTTAAAAAAAAAAAAAAAATGCTACACGAAAGAGACTTTCTCTCCTCCTGTACTCGAATTCTTGGCTTGCAAATAAACAGCCTTAAAACCAAATCGTGGAGCAGCCACATCTTTAGAAAGATGTCTGGCCAGTGATGGTGTGAATGGTGGAGTTACCCTTTTCTGAACTAAGCAAGTTTTTTTTGGGTGGGGGCGATGGAGATCTCTCTGCTTCAGTAACCAAGGTTAGATTCTAACCTTGTAATTAGATCCCTTACCTACCCAGGCCTGACCCCATCATTTTATGAGTCAGGGCAGTCTTTTTGGCAGTTCCTGGAGCTGTTCAGGTTGGCTTGTCTATTTTCTTTGGGTAAATATTTGTGCTTAATGGCTCTTATCGCTTTACATGCTGGTGCCAGGCCTCCCAGTTAATCAGAAACCACAGTGCTGCATAATCTTGCCGAAAACAGGCTGGAGGGGAACTTTGAAAGAATGTCAGGCGCCCTCTCCTTAATAAGTAACAGCCCAAAGAGGGCTTCCTCTTGGGGAGGGAGGAAAGAAAGACACTAGAGATAATGTGGGAAGGAAAGAGAGGGGGGTAGAGAGAGGGGGAGGGGTGGGGTGGGTGAGGGAATCTCTTGAAAGTATTGTGATCACCATATTCACAACAAAACAAGTTTGGTCTGGTGGTTAAAGTGCTGACTTAGAAACCAGGAGACTGTGAGTTCTAGTTCCTCCTTAGGCATGAAAGCTGCCTGGGTGACGTTGGGCTAATCACCAGGAAGCAGTGAGTTCTAGTTCCACTTTAGGCATGAAAGGTGGCTGGGTGACATTGGGCCAATCACCAGGAGACAGTGAGTTCTAGTTCTGCCTTAGGCATGAAAGCCAGCTAGGTGATGTTGAGCCAACCATCAGGAGACAGTGAGTTGTAGTCCTGCCTTAGGCATGAAAGCTGGTTGGGTGACATTGGGCCAATCACCAGGATACAGTGAGTTCTAGTCCCGCCTTAGGCATGAAAGGCAGCTGAGTGACTTTGGGCCAGTCGCCAGGAGACAGTGAGTTCTAGTTCCTCCTTAGGCATGAAAGCTGCCTGGGTGACGTTGGGCTAATCACCAGGAAGCAGTGAGTTCTAGTTCCGCTTTAGGCATGAAAGGTGGCTGGGTGACTTTGGGCCAGTCGCCAGGAGACAGTGAGTTCTAGTCCCGCCTTAGGCATGAAAGTCTGCTGGGTAATGTTCGGCCCATCACTTTTTCTCAGCCCAACCCACTTCACAGGATGGTTAATAGTGGGGAAAATAGGAAGGAAGGAAGGAGTTTATGTATGTTCACCGCCTTGACTTGCTGGATTAAAAATGTAAATAAAAATATAAGCAAGGATCTACTTCCTCCCCCCCCCCCCCCCCCCAAAAAAAAAACCTGGGTTCCTCCCAGCACCCTTTTGGCTTCTTATCTCCAGATTGTGTCCACTTCAGAGCTTTTGAGATCCTGAAGCTCTGGCACTGCTGCTTAAGCGAGAGGACTTTCCGTTATCGGTGGCGTCTCTCCATCCCTCTCTTTCTCACTTTCTTTCCAGCCCAGAATGTGACTGTGGAAGAAGTTCTCACCGCCTACAAGCAGGCCTGTCAAAAGTTAAACTGCAAACAGCTACCCAAACTACTGAAGCAGATCCAGGTACGTGGTTGTTCTTAAAGGTATCCCTGCCATGATGATGGAGGAGGAGGAGGAGGAGGTGGTGGTAGTGATTATCTATTCTTAGGGTTTATTTTTGGCAGACACAGCAAACCATTTTATCTTGAGGCTGCCTACCTAGGTGTTGTTAATACAGGTAGTCCTTGACTTAAAACCACAATCGAGCTCAACGTTTCCATTGCTAAGCGAGACCATTGTTAAGCAAAACACTGCAGTTATTAAGAAAATGTAAGGTCCAATAATAATGATATGTTTAAGCTCATAAATGCCAAACAAGAGTAAACAGAGGCTTGAGTAAAATAGCATTTAATCTTGATCGAGCTTAAATGGTTAGCTGTTCCAAACACATACAAGATACATGTGGGTAAAAACTACAAACGATGGAATGTGAACCCCTTTTATATTGTTTAGGAAAGTCATAAACCTCCAATTCTGGCATCTTTGATTTGTGTATCCCCTGGAATTTGGTTTGTGTATCCCATCCCCCACCCCAAAACAGGGTAGAGCCTCTCAATGATCATTAGCGTTATCTCTTCCTGATCATCTTCTTTGTGTTCACACTTTTGGCTATTTAGCCCCTTGGAGTGGAGGGAACTCAAAGATCAAAGATGAGATAAGTTCTTAGGCAGGAGGGGGAGAGATAAGGCTCTGATAGTTTGACAAATGCCAGATACTTCACAACAGACCCCAATAACAGTCCAGGAAGTTAGTCAGTGTGGCATGTTTGTGTTATAACTATAAAGGGCATAATATTTATGTCAGTGTCACAGGCAACAAATATTTACCATGCAGGTATACAAAGACATATCATACATACATATATATATATGTTGCAGGAAACAAATAACAAGTTTCTACTATCCTGTTTTTCCCAAAATAAGACATCCCCTGATATTGAGCCCAATCAGTCTTTTGAGCGCATGGCAAGCGCTTATTTCAGGGTTCAAAAAAATATAAGACAGGGTCTTATTTTCGGGGAAACATGTTATTTATCTACCTACCTACCTACCTACCTATTCCCTTATTTATCTATCATGTCTGTCTATATCTATCTATCTAATCCATATGGATTAGATATCCATCTGTCCATCCAGATATCCATTTTTCTATCATCTATCTGTCTGTCTGTCTGTCTGTCTGTCTGTCTGTCTGTCTGTCTGTCATTTATATCTATCTATCTATCTATCCTGTTTCCCCCAAAATAAGACATTCCCTGATAATAAGCCCAATCGGGCTTTTGAGCGCATGGCAATAAGGCCAAGCGCTTATTTCAGGGTTCAAAAAAATATAAGACAGGGTCTTATTTTCAGGGAAACACGGTAATTCTAATATTTCAGTATATCTATTTCCTTACATTAGTAACGGGGTTGTTAAGTGAATCTGGCTTTTCCGTTGACGTGGCTTGTCAGAAGGTCACCAAAAGGCGATCACAGGACCCCGGGGACACCGCTAACTGTCACAACTGTGAGTCAGTTGCCAATTTTGGCCACGTGACCATGGGGGAATGCTGTGGTGGCCTTGTAACTTTGAACGGGTCACTAAACGAACGGTTGTAAGTCGAGGACGACCTCCACAGCCTGTCCAGTCTTTTCAAGCAAAATCTTTTTTCCCAGTCCTTCCTGGAGAGGCTGAGGGTTGAAGCCAAACGTTCTACTCACAGAGGCTTTTTCATAACGTCTATCATCCACCAAGGGAAGGGAGAAAGGAAACAAGGAACTTGCAAAATCCTCTTTAAAGTTGGCTCCATCTTGAGAGCTATGGCCAGGAAAAAAATATTAGTTCTGTGTTGTAATCCCAAGAGCCAAAACAAGCTGACTTGGCTTCCGAAGAGAATCTGAGTCGGATTTGTCGTTTTTATTATTTACTTTATTATTATTTTTTATGACTTTTATATGCTGCCCATCTTGCTATCCAAAATTAGAAGACTCCGACAAGGTTTCTTGGCATAAATACTAATTTGCCGCTATTCTGTTGCAGGAATTTAAAGATCTAACCCCTAGGATAGATTGCCTGGATCTAAAAGGTATGTCTTCAAGCTTTTTGTTGATTTGCCAACATGCCTTAAAGGTGCCCCTCTCTCTTCTTGTCCGGGAGAATTGGTTCCCTTTATTTGCATTTGAAAACAGCCCCTGTTTTTCAGAGGTGGTAGAATGGATGTCACAGATCCTGGGGGCCATTTTGCCAAGTGCCAGGTGCAAATTAGTCATCATGTTTTGCCGGCAGGCATGTGACATCTGATGTTCTAAAACCGGCTCAGGTTTTCAGCAGCTTGCCACCAAATCTTCTCTTTGGCATTCAACTTTCTTCTCCACTTGTAGATTTACAAAGTTAAATCAAGTTTGGTGGTGGTGGTGGTGGGGAATAAATTGCTAACTGTACCAAATAGCGTAACCAGATGGAGAGGTTGCTGATGAAAATCTGCATCCTCTTTTCCACAAGAATTGCACACGGTTCTCTTTGGATTTACCTGCAATGAACCTTCCTTCCCCACCCCCACCCCCTCGTTCCCTCACCTGGTTTTCCATTTCATAACTAAGCAGCCCCTTTAAAAAGCAACCGGCAAACGTTGTGTTTACACTGCCATGATGGGTTGTTTAACCGGAAGACGTTTGTTTATATGCAGAGGGGCTAAATAGAAGCCTCATTTTCAAAATGAAAGGCCTGATCCCAGAGAAAGAGAGGGAGAGGGAGGGAGGGAGGGGGAGAGAGAGAGAGAAGAGAGAGAGGGTGCCGACGTCATCATCCGAATGGAAAATGAATGGGTCACACTTGACAACCGAGGGAAGAAAGAGCCAGACGTGGCTGCGTAGCAGAAATAACAGCCCCCTCTCCGAGCATCCTTTCTGACCTCTGCACAGGGCTAAATCTGCATCACGGCTGCAGATTTTTTTTCTAATTAAAGGTGCATTGTGAATGGGCACTGAATCGTTGTTTTTGGCAGGGGTTTGCCCTCCAAGCCTGTTTCAGCTTAGTTTCTGAACGTTTCGTTACCAAACTAGGTAACGGCATCAGAACTAGGTAACAGCATTTTCTTGTCCTATTCCTCTTTAGCTTATAAATGTCTTGTGTGCCAGTGTGGTCAGTTAAGGGAATGGCAATAGAATAGAATAGAATAGAATAGAATAGAATAGAATAGAATAGAATAGAATAGACTAGACTAGACTAGAATAGAATAGAATAGAATAGAATAGAATAGAATAGAATAGAATAGAATAGAATAGAATAATGGAATGAATGAAGAAAGAATAGAATAGTGAGGAACAGATCTTCACTCTAATGAATTGAACTCATTGTCTCCTGCAAACTCCCCTCCCCTTCGCTCCTCTTTATTCCCTATGGGAGGGGCCATTCACCGTCCACCTGTGGCTTTACTCCCGAGTCAACCCTTGTTCCTTAGCTGTTCCCTTCGCCTGGCAGCTCTGCGCATGCGCCCACTGGGAACAGGCTCCAGCTGTTCTTCTGACCCACTGATGTCCGACTCCGAAGGCAGCTGACAACTGTCAGACGGCCCTGGCCCCCTCTCTGCCTCCGACGCAGAGCCCTCCTCAGAGCCTTCCCCAGGCTCCAGGACTGGCCCATGTTCCTCCCCAACCTCCTCACTGTCCGAATCTGCTGCCTGGCGGGCCACAACAGCAAGAGGCTGACACTTTACAGAGTCAGCCTTAGAGAGGGCTGTAATGCACTGTGAAGCGATGTATAAGTCTTAAGTGCTCTTGCTATCATGAGGCAGCCTTGTCTCAGGCAGCTTATCCCAACTTTCCAGAGCAGGGAGAAGTTTAGTGCATTGGCTCCCATGATTGTATAACAATTCTTTCCCTCTCCCCCCCCCCCACTTTAATTCTTTCTGACTGGTTCGTCATAATCCCCTCCCTCCCACTTTAAACCCTTACGCACTCTTTTGTTTCTCTTCTCGTACAGGTGAAAAATTAGACTACAAGGCTTGTGAAGCTCTGGAAGAGATTTTTAAGCGCCTCCAATTTAAAATTGTGGATTTGGAGCAAACGAGCCTCGATGAAGATGTATGTAACCTACAAAGAATTTTTATTTATTCCTCTCTTTCTCTCCTTGGGGAGCTGAATTCTGTACCTTTTTCCCCCCTCCCCGTTCCAAACTGACCATCTCGGGAATCGAACAGGTGCGCTTTTTGTCTTGAGGACCGCAGCCTTGCGTAGACTCCAAGGAAGCCCTTATTTTAACCAAGTTGGGGCAGCTGTCAAAAAAATTGCCCGTCGCTTTTGGCCATTTACAAATCCATGTCCAATTTGAATTGACTGTCTGGAAAAAGATGTCTCAAGTCATCCAGGTCACGGTTATACCAAAGATGCTTTTTCTTTTTCTTTTTCTTTTTGTATTATTCTTTTTTTTTTTCATTGTACAATTTTCTTGGTTATGTATAAAATTTTTATATTCACAATATACAGTATACAGTCTGAGTACAATCTCTACGGTCTCTGTTGAATACAGATAGTGAATCTTATACACACCATAGTTGCTCTTATTTTCAATACCTAAGATGCTTTTTTCACGAGGCAACTAGACTTTCTTCTTGTTGTTTTTTCCCTTGAAGACGTTTCGCTTCTCATCCAAGAAGCTTCTTCGGTTCTTGCATGAGAAACGAAACGTCTTCAAGGAAAAAAAAAAAAAAGAATATCCGGAAAGATGCATTTTGCTTTTAAACTTGCAGGGAAAGCTTTCACAGGAGGTAAGGTCTTCGTAAACGGGAATGAATTAAACGAACTTTTGCTAATACTGCAGCCCCCCCGTGGCTGAGTGGCAGGCAAGATGATTGTTTGGGATGCTACACTTTGCTCTGTCAGGCCCGGAAGCCATTCTTTTGCCTTGGGCCTTCAGGCCTGTCACATTTACTACTGTGGGAAATTGGGAGGGGTGGATTGTATGGAGCATGGATGATATGTAGTCATAACGACATTCCTTTCTCTGAGAGTCAAGGACATCTTGCCCTGCACTTGGAGTGGCGTGACTGGGAGGCATCTCCAGTTGGGACGGTGCTTGGATTGGACCATGTGATGGACATGTGGGTGCAGGGGGAAGGGACTTCAACTTCCCTTTGGGTGGGGAAAACCTGGAAGCTTTCAGATTCGGGTTTTCCCAGATGTGCCAATATGACATCTCTAATAAAATGGAGCTTTGAGGAACTTCAAGCCTCGGAGTTTTCTTTTGTTGGGGGTGTTACTTGGAACTCTGACACTGTTCATGCGGTCGCTGTTTCTCTCTCCTCCCCCTCCCTCTCTTTCTCGTTCGCTAGGGTGCCTCAGCACTGTTTGACATGATTGAATACTACGAGTCCGCCACGCACCTCAACATCTCCTTTAACAAACACATCGGCACCCGGGGTTGGCAGGCAGCTGCCCACATGATGAGGAAGGTTTGTACTGACGTTCTGCTCTAAATTGGATTTTTGAAAACCTTGCAGTTTGTGGGCAACCTCGAGGAAGGACAATAGAAGGTGGAATGGAAATACAGGCAGTCCTTGACTTATGAACACAGCTCAGCCCCAAATTTCTGTTGCTTAAGTAAGACATTTGTCAAGTGAGTTTTGCCCCATTCTACAACCTTTCTTGCCACGGTTGTTAAGTGGAATCGCTGCAGCTGTTAAGTTAGTCACACCGTTGTTAAGCGAATCTGGTTTCCCCCATTGACTTTGCTTGTCAGAAGGTCACAAAAGGGGATCACATGACCCCAGGACAGTGCAAGTGTCATAAATATTAGACAGTTGCCAAGTGTCTGAATTTTGATCATGTGACCTGCAGTGGTCATAACTGAAAAACGATCATAAGTCACTTTTTTTCCAGTTCTGTTGTAACTTTGGACGTTCACTAAATGAACTGTTGTAAGTCAAGGACTACCTGTAATGGAAAGGCCCTTAATATCTTTTCTCCTGAATGGGAGGCAAATCCTAGGGATGGATTTTACCTCTGTCTGTATCTGATTTTGTGGAGGAGGAGGAGGAGTGGCAGAGATGGAGGCGGGGTTAAAAGAGGGATCAGCCTAGAATCCCAATGTAGTCACAAACAAACTATGAGCCTTGGTGGTGCAGCAGACTAAAGTGCTGTTAAGTAGCACCAGCTGCCTGCAATTACTGCAAGTTCGAATCTCACCAGGCTCAAGGTTGACTCAGCCTTCCATCCTTCCGAGGTAGGTAAAATGAGGACCCAGATTGTGGGGGCAATAAGCTGACTTTGTATAAAAAAAGAACACCGCTTGGGGGGGGGCTGAAAGCCCTAATAAACTGGTATATACAAAAGTATGAAGGCTATTGCTTAACGCATTGTAAACCGCCCTGAGTCTCTGGAAAAGGGCGGCATATAAATCAAACCAATAAATAAATAAATAAACTGAAGTCCTTGATTTCCATTGACCCATATCTAACTCCAAGCAGGTGCTAGCCTTAAATTGAGAAGATTCCTGTACACAGGCATGAATAACAATAAATGAGTTTATTTGGACCTTCACGTGGACCCGGTCTTTTGGGCTTGACACTTTCCTGTTTTCTTTCTCCCCCCAGACAAACTGCCTCCAGTACGTGGATGCCCGCAACACGCCTCTCCTGGATCATTCGGCCCCATTTGTGGCCCGCGCCTTGCGCATCAGCAACAGCCTGGTTGTCCTGCACCTGGAGAATGCCAGCCTTTCCGGTCGTCCCCTCATGTTACTGGGTGAATGGATTGAGCCGTCCTTTCATCATCATTTTGCACCCCTTTGCCCTCAGCCCCCACCCTGCATTGCAGTTCTTCCCAAATCCCCTCCTAGGAGATCACTGTGCTTCTTTGCGAGTAAATTAACATTTTAGGCACAGAGGGCATTGTTGTCGTGTGAAAAACAAATGTTGGGCATGAGGGGTCCTTGGTGCTCTCCGAGCTTGGTGGTTTTCTTGCAGACGTTTCGTGACCCAACTAGGGTCTAGCATCATCAGTGCTAGAAGATGTAGGGTTTGCTCTCTGTGAACTCTGTAAATATAGCATGGATGATGTTACCTACTTGGGTTATGAAACGTCTGCAAGAAAATCACCAAGCTCAGAAAGCACCGAGGACCCAACAGTTCTTCTTCTCCTCCTCCTCCTCCTCCTCCTCCTCCTCCTCCTCCTCCTCCTCCTCTTACAGCACTGATGATGTTAGCTAGTTGGGTCATGAAATGTCTGCAAGAAAACCACCAAGCTCAGAGAACACCAAGGACCCAACAGTCTTCCTCCTCCTCCCTTTCTCTTTCTCTTCCATTCCACAAGCCCCACTCTCCTGTAGCACCCTAAGCTGCAAATATTTTCCCTTCAATGTCAGGCAGTATTTTTATTTTCTAAAGCTGCTTCTAGGGTTCAGGAGAGACAATGGGCCTTCTTGCAAATAAAGATGATCCTGCAGCTTTAATAATGTATTAGAACCAGCCTGGAGGACTTTAACATGCAAACCTGTAGCAATAATAAATGAAGTTTGAAAATGATAGCCAGCATTAGTTGACTTGCTTGTTTTTCCATTCCAAAGTGCCTGTTAAGGGAGGAGGAGGAGGAGAAAGAAAACTATATGGCCCAGCTAGGAATGTGCTTTTTTCCCCTTCTCTATGACTCCTGTAATGAGCAGTTTATGAGTTTCCCACCCTTATTAGATTGAGTAGGTAATGGTTGCAGGAATTGGACATGGCTAGTCTAGTGAAAAGAAGGACTATGAGTGACATGATAGCAGTGATCCAGTTTTGAGGAAGTTGCCACAAAGAAGAAGAGGTCAGTCTATTTTGCAAAGCACCTGAAGGCAGGACAAGAAGCAATGGATGGAAACTAATCAAGGAGAGAAGCAACCTGGAACTAAGGAGAAATTTCCTATTGGTGAGAACAATTAATGGCTTCTAGTCCAACTCCTTGCTCAAGCAGGAAACCCTCTACCATTCCAGTCAGATGGCTGTCTAATCTCTTCTTAAAAGCCTCCAGTGATGGAGCATCCATAATCTCTGAAGGCAACTTCTGTTCCACTGATTCTAACTATCAGGAAAATTCTCCTTATTTCCAGGTTGTTTCTCTCCTTGCTTAGTTTCCACCCACCATTTCTTGCCTTGCCTTCTGGAGCTTTGGAGAACAGCTTGACTCCCTCTTCTTTGTGGCAGCCCCTCGAATATTGGAACATTGCTATCATGTCACCCCTAGTCCTTCTTTTCACTAAACTAGACAATTCCAGCCACTGTTTCTTCATATGTTTCCGCCTCCAGTCCCCTAATCATCTTTGCTGCTCTGCCACTTTTTTTCGAGCCCCAACACCTTTTTTTTATTTTTTACATCGTGGTGACCAAAACTGGATGCCGTATTTCCAAGTGTAGTCTTTCCAAGGCTTCATAAAGTGGTATTAGGACTTCACATGAAGCATCCACTAATCACCGTGCAGAACAAAATCTTAAATAGGCCTCCAGCTTAATCCACAGGGCTTTTTTTTCCTCTGCTGAAAAAGCGTTAGGTAAAAGAAGATGGAATAGCAAGGCCTCTTAACGCAGCTTGGATGCAGGATGTCCCTGGGGGAGAGAATGACACAGCTTATGCCTTGATAACAATCCCAATTCTTCACTTGAATGTTGGGATGGGACTTACACCCTGACATCACTATAGCCAACTCTCATTTTTGCAACCATTGTGGCTTGCTGCCAGTACTGGTAGCCACAGGGGATTGGAAGTTTTGTTCTTGTGCCCAGGTTCTTGTTTTTGCTCACTGGTTTATTTCTCTGTCCTTAGCGACGGCTCTGAAAATGAACATGAACCTGCGGGAACTTTACCTGGCTGATAATAAACTGAACAGCCTCCAAGACTCGGCTCAGCTGGGCAATCTCTTGAAGTTCAACTGTTACATACAGATCCTGGACCTCAGGAACAACCACGTCCTGGACTCAGGTAGGGCAGCTCCAGCCTCAAGCATCCTCAGGGAGGGAGGGAAGGAAGGGAAAGAGAGAAGAAGGAAAGGAAAGGGAGAAGAAAGAAAGGAAAGAAAGTCAGGGAAGGGAAGGAAAAGAAAGGAAGAAGGAAGTCAGGAAAGGAAAGGAGAGAGGGTGGAGACAGGAAGAAGGAGGAAGGGAAGGAAGGAGACAGGAGAAAGGAAGGAAGGAGAAAAGGGGGAAGGAAAGAAGGAATAAAATACATTTTATTGCAATCAATTCATAAAACATTCTACTTTTGAATCGGTCCAGCTTCCAAGGAAACAAATTCTTCAGATTTGGGAGAATAAAGCTGTTAATTCATAATTTATTTTTAAATACCTTAAGATTTTATTTTTTTTGGCTGGATCTTAAAAGTGTGTAATTTCTTCGTGGTAGAACTAATAAAAAGCGTAAAATACTTCTAATCCAAGAAGCTCATTTTTAAGCGTTTCCTCTTTTCAAACAGTCCTACCTGGGAACTAAATAAAATTATTGAAAGCAGATGCAGAAACCTCCAACAGCTGTAACCCCAAGAGGAAGTTAATCCAAAGTTTCCAGCAAGAACAAACGGATGTATTTATTCCCTTAAGCTAAATACAGAACATGCTGAACTTCTGTGTTACCATGTGTTATTTAAAAAGAAAACAAAACCAAAAACAAATGAAGAAAACTTCCCTTTTCTAAAACTGTTTGTCTTGCGCTTCCCAGGACTGGCCTATATCTGTGAAGGGCTGAAAGAGCAGCGGAAAGGCCTGGTCACCCTCGTGCTGTGGAATAACCAGCTGACTCACACCGGCATGGCCTACATGGGGATGACATTGGTGAGTCCAAACCTCTTGCCGTATCTTGGGACAGGGTCTTTGATCAGAAAGTGGGAGGCTATGGAGAACCCAACAAAGAGCTGTTTTTTAATCAAGGGAAGGAAGGAAGGAAGGAAGGGAAAAGGAAAGGAAGACAGGAGAGAGGGAGAAGAAGGGAAGGAAGGAAGGATGCGTAGGTGGGTGGATAAGGTCGAAGATAGAGATAGCTGATAGATTAGATAGATAGATAGATAGATAGATAGATAGATAGATAGATAGATAGTTATAGTCAGACAGAATGTACTGTGTTTCTCCGAAAATAAGACCCTGTCGTATATATTTTTTGAACCCTGAAATAAGGGCTTGGCCTTATTTTTGGGGAGGTCTTATTATTTTGGGGCACGTGGAGCATGATGGGGCTCCTCTTGATGTCTTACCTGATTTCCAGATCTGCTTTTAAATATTTTTGGGGAGGGCTTATTTTCAGGGGGGAGGCTTATTTTAGCACTTGTGCTCAAAAGCCCAATTGGGCTTATTATCGGGATGTCTTATTTTTGGGGGAACAGGGTAGATGAATTGATGGAATGATAAGATGATAGAAACTGTAGATGATAGGTAGGTAGATGATAGAGATAGATGATTGATAAGATATAGATGTGGATAGATGGAAGATGATAGAGTAGATAGAGATAGATGGAGGGGGGGAGGGAGGAAGGAAGGAAGGAAGGAAGGAAGGAAGGAAGGAAGGAAGGAAGGAAAGAGCAGTGATTCAGATGACTTGAAAGACCTTCCCTGAGAGGTCTACAACTCAAGGATTTTGCTTTGAACCTGAAACATGATAACCCACTTTCTGTCCTGCTTACGCCTCCAGCCTCACACCCAGAGTCTTGAGACTCTGAATTTGGGACACAACCCGATTGGCAACGAAGGTGTCCGCAACTTGAAGAACGGGCTCATCAGCAACCGCTCAGTGCTACGGTTGGGGTTGGCTTCAACAAAACTAACCTGCGAAGGTAAGCCGAACTTGCAGCCATCTCTGTGATGGCAGCAGAAACCCTCCCAAAACTAGGGGGTGTGGCCTGCATGATCTCTTTTGGTGCCCAGGTGCTGTGGCTGTGGCGGAATTCATTGCGGAGAGTCCTCGCCTGCTTCGGCTGGACCTGCGGGAAAACGAGATCAAGACGGGGGGACTTATGGCCTTGTCTTTGGCTCTGAAGGTCAATCATTCTTTGCTCAGGCTGGACCTTGACCGGGAGCCCAAAAAGGAATCGGTAAGTCTGGGTTGGAAGCCAGCTCCCAATATGGGCCCCCTCTAAGGGAGCAGCTCTCCAAATTCCCTAAAATTTGGTCTAGTTCTTAAGGCACTAGGTTAGAAAACAGGAGACAGGGAATTCTAGTCCCACTTTAGGCATGAAAGCTGCTGGGTGACTATGGACCAATCACCAGGAGACAGGGAATTCTAGTCCTACCTTAGGCATGAAAGCTGGCTGGGTGACTTTGGGCCAATCACCGGGAGGCGGTGAGTTCTAGTCCCGCCTTGCGGCACGAAAACTGGCTGGATGACTTTGGATGGAGTTTGCAACCTGCATCACATCTGAAGTCAGGCGGTTTCGACCGAAATGCAGGTCCCAAAGGAAAGATGCAGGTCCTTATCTTTGAAGCTCCTCAGTTGAACATCTTAACTGCGCCGATTCAATTTTGTTCTGCCTTCCTCCTCTTTCAACAGGTGAAGAGTTTCCTCGAGACGCAGAAAGCCCTCCTGACCGAGATCCAGAACGGCTGCAAGCGCAACTTCGTCCTGGCCAAAGAGAAGGAAGAGAAGGAGCAGAAACTCCAGCAGTCGGCCTCCATGCCCGAGATCACAATCACGGAACCTCTGGAGGAGGAGGAGGAGCAGGCAGAAGAGGACGGGCAGAACGGGGACGTGGTGTCCAGCCTGGAAGAAGTGGAAGAAGTTGCCGAAGCCTTGATACCCCGCGAGAACGGAGCAGCGGAGCAGAGAGTGGCCGGTGGTGGCAGCAACAACCTCTGCGATTCTGATTCAGACACCGAAGAGGAGGAAGAGGAGAAGGAGGAGACATTGCAAACAAAAACTTTCTCTCTGTTGGGACAACACAGCAAGCCCAACCACACTGAAGGACCCCTTGGGGTGGGCTCTCTCGAGAAAGGCCGGGACATGCTTGGCGCCAAAGACAAGGTCTCCCCCTCGAACGCTGCAGAAGAAGAAATCAAATGTGAATCTCGAATAGGAACCACAAGCAGCGCGCCACTGCAAGTCAATTCTCCTGGAAACGAGAAACGGATATCGGTTTCCAGTCCCGGCCGAGGCCACAAAATCTTCGTGGTGACGCGGGTGGAAAGCTTTCCGGAGAAGGAGGAGTTGAGGGCAGCCCAGCAGAAGGCGGGCCCCGCAGCTCTGTCTGCACCTCCGTCGAGGCAGGCGGACTCTCTGCCCCCCCATCAGCCCGTAAAGACTGAAGGCTCGAAAGCAGAGACGAGTGAAACTGTGGCTGGACCCACAGCCGGCTTGGAAAGCCCGCCCCACACGCCGAGTTCCCATTCGGGCCCCGACAAAATGAACTCTGGGACCTGTGAGGACGCGGTCCACCTTACTCTGCTTCCTAACGGGGTAAAGACGGAATTTCTTTGTGTGCTGCCGGACACGCCTTTAGGGTACGACGGGAAAAGAGCCAGCTGTGCTGTGGAACATGGTAAGAAAGCAGAAAAGCTTGGTATAACCACAGAATGAAATGGCCGGGCCAAAGAGGGCACACAATCTGCATTTGATGTATTGTCTTGAGGGGGAGCAAGGTGGGGGGAGCTCTCAAGCTCTTTGGGGTGAAGACAAGGCTTGATGTTCAGGTGGGGTGCTGGAGATACGCTCCCAAAAAACCAGGAGGAGAGGAGGAAGAATTAAAAAGCAGATGAGGCTAGGTCAAAACATTTAAATCGGGGGGGGGGTGTCCATCCTTGGAGACTTTTAAGATCTGTGGACTTCAACTCCTAGAACTCCCCAGCCAGGCAACTGGGGAATTCTGGGAGTTGAAGTCCACAGGTCTTAAAGTTGCCAGGGTTTGGCACGTGTAATTTAAGTGGCCTTAAGGTTCTAGAACTTTAGAGAGACGTGGTGGCCTAGAGGTGGAACTCTCGCCTCTCATTCGGGAGGCTGTGAGTTTGATGCTAGGTAGCAGCAGATATTTCTCTCTCTGGAGGGCAATGAGTTATTGTCTGCTGTGAACTCTGCCTAGGTGTCAGGAAGGGCATCCGGCTAGTAAATGCTCAAGCTCTGTTCAGTCGCCCCAATTTCTACCCCAATGCAAGGGTGGCTAAAAGAAAAAAAAAGAAAGTTCTGTTGTGACCTAGGCCCAAGTAGTTATTGCCAGACACAATCAGTCCTAAACAAACATATTTTATTAGAACAGCTTCATTCATTACTTCATTACTTCATTCTCAGCTTGGTCCAAATTTAGTCCAAAACAAATCCTTCATAAACAGTCCTTCGGCCTTATCACCAACCTTTGTCTACTTTGGCACCCTGCCAAAGGCTTTTCTTGGCAAAACCCCCACTAAGTTCAGAAGCAAGAGATGCCGCAACGTTGCTTTTCTACAAAGAGGCCAAGAGCCGTTGTTGCTCTTTTAAGCCTTCTGGGAGGGGCCAATCATCTGGCCTTACTCCCGAGTCATCCTTTTTGCTTTAGCTGCTCTTGCCTTCTGGCAGCCCTTCACATGCGTGCACTAAGAACAGGCTCCTCCTTTTCCTCTGCCTCTCTGCTATCTGCCTCTGGAGGCTCCGGACTCCACGCATCGCTCCCAGATGGCCCTGGCCCCATCTCTGCCTCCGACGCAGAGCCCTCGTCCGGGCCTTCCCCAGCCTCCAGACTGGCCCATGTTCCTCTCCAGCCTCCTCACTGTCTGACTCCGCTGCCAGCTCCGCAGGCTGCTGGCGGACCACAACAAGTTCCTGGATCTAACCTCAGCAAATATGATTCTTTCCCTTGGACAAGGATCATTTTTCTCCTTCTGTCCTGTCAAAAGTGATGGCTTGGTAGCCGCGTTTCTGGATAAGTTCCTGGGCTTCAGAGGGCTGCAGGACTTGTTGCTGGTGGAGCCCTCATGGTCTCGTGGCCAGCCTGATGATGGCTCCCTGAGGTTCCAGTTGTCCATTTCTGTTTTTTTCAGAGTTGAACTGTTCCAAAAACGAGAAGGAGCTGGAGGAGTTACTCTTGGAAGCAAGCCTAGAGATGGGGCAGGAACCAATGTGACACTTTAGGTAAGGGACAGTCCTCTCGCCATGGGCACAGGAGGGTGTTTTCAACTAAAATCAAGTTCCCAGAAAGGATCATTAAGGTGTGCTGTCAAGACAGAGCTGTTTGGCCACCAGGTGGATTGGTTTTCTTAGATTTGTGTGGTTGGTTGCTTGCTTGCTTGCAGACGTTTCATGACCCAACTAGGTAACATCATCAGTGCTAGAAGGTGGGGTTTAATCTTTTTTTAATATAGCAGTAGTACTTAGACTGATATACCGCTTCACGGTGCTTTACAGCACTCTTCTAAGGTGGTTATAGGGTCAGCACATTGTCCCCAACAATGTGGGTCCTCGTTTTACCGACCTCAGAAGGAGGGAAGGCTGAGTCAGCCTTGAGCCGGTGAGAATCGAACTGCCAAAATTGTTAACCATTTTGGATAATGAAATGAGAAAACCACCCAGCTCAGAGCACCAAGGATCCCAGAGTTATTGTCCTCCTCCTTTTCTCCTTCTCCTTTCCACAAATCCCACTCCTTTCTACCACTGATGATATTACCTAGTTGGGTAATGAAAATTCTGCAAGAAAACAATCAAGCTCAAAAAACATCAAGGACCCCACAGTCCTCCTCCTCTTCTTCCTCCTCTTCCTCTTTCTCCTCCCTCTTCCTCCTCTTCTTCCTCCTCCTCCTCCTCTCTCTCCTCCCCCGCTTTCTCCTTCTCTTCTTCTTTCTCCTCCTTCTCCTCTTCCTTTTTCTCCTCCTTCTCTTTTTCCTCCTCCTCCCCTCCAAACCCCACTACGTCTAGCACTCATGATGTTATATTGTATGGTAATGAAATGTCTGAGAAAACCATCCAGCTCGGACAGAAACCAAAAATCTTAACAATACTGATACTCTAAACTTTCTTCTTCCTCCTCCTCCTCCTCCTCCTCCTCTTCTCTTTCAGTTCTGGGCAGTCGCTGAGCAGCCGGTTGCTTTGGGGAAACACTAGCTTTACTCCCTGCCTCCACCAAGCGATCCCAAAGCGGACACTGAAATACCGGGGCAACCGAATGCCTTGTCCCTTTTCCCAAAGAGCTTTGTTTCCAGATGCACCCCCCCCCCCCCTTCCCTTTTTCCCCCCCCCCCCCTCCCCCCCCCCCCCTTTTTTTTTTTTTTTGGCATTCTTGACGTCTTCCTCTGAGAAGAGACCTGCCGTCTCGCAGGACCGATCCAGGAAAACCGGCAAAAGGGAGACCTCGATCCGGAGAAAAAAAAGCTTTTGTACTTGGAGACCCAGGACGAACTCTCAATATGAATGGCCTCGGTTTCTCCTTCTGGAACACTAGCCAAGGGCACTTGCAATGTTTTTTTCTCTCTCCCCCCCCCCCCCTCGTGTTCCTTTCTTTCTTTGAAAGATTCCCCGGAAGTCAGATTGAATTTTTGTCAGCTCTGGACATCCCGGACCGCTGCCGTCTGTTTTAAACTTTTAAATGAACCAAGGAAACACAAACAAACAAAAAAGAAGTCCTGCATTTTTTATTTTTTTTTTTGGCTTTTCCTGCAGTGCAGATGTGACCAGGCTCGGTTCGGTTGCAGACCGAGAGGAAGAGAGAGCTGTGACAGTGCTGAGTCAAGGTGGCAAATTTGTCGTGTTGTCATGCCCCCATGCCGGAAAAACACACACACATACACACACACACACACACACAAACTTTTCTCACCTTAAGCAGGACGATTCGGGCTGTTATTTCTCAGCCCAGACTACTATTTATTTTTATTCCTCTCTTATCTCTTTATCTACACACGCGTGCATTCATATCGTCTTTCCTTCCTTCGTTATGTCTCCATGTTTGTTCTATTGTTTATTTTTTTTGTTCGGTGTCTTATTTAAAGCGGCATGGGAAGACTCTTGCCTCGAAGTTGGCATCCCGGTCGGAGGGACACGGCGGCTTCCTTATATTCTTTCCGTTTGTGAAAAGAAGAAGGAAGAAGGCATCCCTTTTTGGGGGGTTCCATGTGAGGACACGTGGTGCATTTGGGGGAGGGGAGCAATTCCTCTCCCTCCGTTTGCCCACAAAATGTGAACGCCACACAGGCCGGCTTCTTCGATTTATTGTGAAAAGAATCAGGTAGTTGCATCTCTAGGGCGTTTCTTTTCCATCCGTGGGGAACAATGGGTTAGGAAACTCTTCAATGGACTGTAAAAAAAAAGAGTTGCAGAGAGTTGCCTGTATTGCGTAAGAGCGGGGAGGGGGGGGCTCATCCCGTGTGACAAAAATGACGTGAGAGCCCTTGTACGGATGCTGCTGGGTTCAGGGTAGTTTCACACCCCTCCACATTCTTTCCCCCCCTCTGCCCTCCCCCATATACCCAGTGGTGGGATTCAAATAATTTAACAACCGGTTCCCTGCCCTAATGACCCTCTGGGTAGACGTGGCTCGGTGGTCATGTGACCATGTTGGCGTGGCCAACTCAACGTCACTCACTGTTACAATGTAATAAGGTTTAACCAGAGAGGCAGTTTCTGTAAGCGGGGCAATAAAAGATCAGGCTAGAAACAACAGCAGAATGTTTCCTTCCTGCCTTCCTTACAGGATTAGCCCTGTATAGTGGAAAAAAACAAAATAAGATTTTCTTCCAACAACCGGTTCTCCGAACTGATTAGAAAGTTAACAAACGGTTCTCCCGAATAGGTGCGAACTGGCTGAATCCCACCACTGGATATACCCCCACCTCTTCATTTCGCAGGCCTTTCCACATTCTTCTTAACCGGTGGAGATGTGGGGGCGGGGGGGTTGAATTCTGGGCCTTCCAGAATTGCTCCTGTCTTTTCTGTTCCAGAGCCACAGGGAGTCCCCTCCCGGCCGAGCCAGAGTTTTCTTAAGGTTTGGCCCAAAAAAAAGTGGGGACGCTAAAGACTTGGGGGAAACCAGGTGAAGCTGGGAAAAAGAAGTTTGCTGGATGTCCTGGTTTTGGGATGCTCCGACAATCTCAGCAGGAAAGAAGGCGAAGGCATGGATGACTATAGATGGGGAGTATCCAACTGTGGCCATTTTAAGACCCGTGGACTTCAAGTCCACAAGTCTTCAAAGTAGCCAAGCTTGAACACCTCTGCTGCAGACGGTGTTGTGGGGGAGGTTGGACAATTTCTCAGGGAAGGCCTTTTCAAAGAACCCCCTCCCCCCCAATATGTTGAGCCCTTCGAGCCGAGCCAGAACCTCAAGGCTGGCGGATGCTCAACACTTGCTCCCCTTTTCTCCAACCTTCCCTCGGAACCGAGCAAAAGAGAAGAGAGATCCACAGGTGGTGAAAAGCTGGAGACCTTGGGGGTGGATGTGGTCTCCACGGGTCATTTCCCCCATCCCCACCCCGATCGGAGCTCTCTGCCCATCCACGGAGCCCACAAAGACTGACAGGGGCTCACCTGGGATGAGCAGGCATCTCGACGTGGTGGATTTGAGTGGGCAGAAGGGGAACCCAACAAGGCCAAAGTCCAGGAAAGCCGAGACCCATGTGTCCTCTTAAATCTCGGCGGCCAAAAATCTGTGGAAAAAAACTGACTTTTCAGTCTCCATCCAAACAGCTCCCGAAAGAAAAAGAGTAGAAAAAGCAAAAAATTTCTTATCACCGTCTCCCTCCCCTCCCTCCCTCCCTCCCTCCTCCACCCCCTCCCCCAAAAAATAACCATGGGATAACTTTTCCCACCTCAGCCATCGAAGCAAAATCGGATTTATTATTTTTTTTTAAAGTATTTATTTACGGTACTGGTTCGATGACATGAGAAAAAGGAATGTTTTCCTCGGTTTCCTCACCTCAAAATACCTGTGTCCCCCCCCCCACCAACCTTTCTACAAAACTGACCGGAGGAGGTGAAGAGAGGGAGAGCTAGCTACGGAGGAGTCGGTGCAGGACTTTAAAAAGAAAAGAAAAAAAAAAAGGAAAAAAACACTCAAAAACTTTCGACTTCCTTTTTTTAAAAAAATCCGTGTTTGTTTGTTTGTTTGTTTTTTCTTAAGTGCAATGAAATCTTGATCAGGGAGCATGAAAAAAAATGGCACTTTTTTTTTTTTTTTTGGCTGCGTTGAATTTCGGGGAGGGCAATTTTTCCGTCTGACCCCCCTGTCTTCCTCTTGACCACGACATCTTCTCTCACACGCTCTCATGCACACACACACTCACAATCACACCACACGCTTCTTTGTAAAGGGAGGGTTAATGCACCCCCCCCAATAAATAAATAATATCTAATGATGAAGTTTTGGCTGCATTAACCCTCTTGTTTACCCTTCCCTTCCATGGCACCCCAAGTTTGATTTTTGTGGGATTTTTTTCCCCCTCCCTTCCCTTTTGGCTATTGTTTTTTTTTTTGTCATTCCCATCTGGGGTGTGTGCGTGCGCGTGTGTCGTTTTATTTTTATGGAAGCTGTCTTCTATTAAATGAAAAAGCTGCATTCATCACGTGCCTCCTTTCCGTCTCTTCCGATCGGGCGCAAGGAGGAATCGTTCCGATGGCACGGCCACCGGTTTTCTGCCTCATGTAGACCAAGTAGCCCGGCTTTTAAAAGGGACAGTAGGACTAGCCTGGTCCTTCTGCTTGTTCTTATTTTTTTATTGTGGGCTGGGATTTCTGGCCACCATTTTAGAGCACAGCTGGGGAACGATGGCCTCCTTCATGACTGGTGGACTTCAACTCCCAGAATTCCTGAGCCAGCCATGCTCAGGAATTCTGGGAGCTGAAGTCCACCAGTCATGAAACATGGCCGGCTCAGGAATTCTGGGAGTTGAAGTCCAGAAGTCACCGAAAGGCCATCGTTCCTCACCCCCTGATCTAGAGTTCAATAAAAATGCAATTCTTTTGTCCCTCAAATCGTGCAGCGGCCATCTTAGCGAGGGGGAAGGGAGCAAAGGAGGAAGGGAAGAGGACTTGGCTGGAGTTCGCTTAAAGTAGCCCTCCTCTTACGACTGCAATTGGCACCAGAAATCCCGTCTTAAGTTGAGACGCCCACATGACTGGACCTTGGGTGGGTGGGTTGTTTTTTTTCCCCCCTTTATTTTTTCCACAGTTGTTAAGCAAATGAGAGTCGAGGACCGCCTGTTCTGCATTGTTTGAAGGGAACAAATTCAGCTGCAGAAAATGCATTAGCAATTCAGTTTGACCTGACCCCCCCAAAAACTTGGCTGCAAAAGGGGGTGCCTGTTTTCCCCAAGGACTTTGAGGTAACCAGAAGCTAAGCAGAAAGTTGGGGTGCCTTGGGAAGAGCATCTCTTCACTTGAAGCTTATTCTGGCGTTGTGAGTCCAAAGTAACTCTAATCCAGCATTTCCTCAGGCAGTCTTGAGCTCCTACCTGGTGGAAAGACAGTACAGGTAGTCCTCGACTTACAACCATTCATTTAGTGACTGAAGTTACGGCGACACTAAAAACAAAGACTTTGCACGGTTTTTCATAACGACCATTGCAGTGTCTCCATGGTCGCGTGATTAAAATTTAGGCGCTTGGCAACTGACTTGTATTTATGACGATTGCAGCGTCCTGGGGACATGTAATCCTTTTTGTGTCCTGAAAAGCAAAGTCAATGGGGGAGCCAGATTCACTTAACAACCGTGTTTCTAACTTAATTGCGGCAAGAAAGGTGGTAAAATGTGGCAAAACTCACTTAAAAACCGCCTTGCTTAGCAACAGAAATGTTGGGCTCAGTTGTGGTCGTAAGCCAAGGACTACCTGTGCAAATTTTTATCTTGGTTTGTGGTTCTTAACAGGGATAGGGCTGGTTTGCAGAGACCAAAGTGTTTCCATGCTGCTGTCTTTCACACACGTTCCAAAATGGACTAGAATACCGTTATTTTTATTTTTTGGCTCTTCGGCCCTTGACAAGAGGTGGCAAATAGATAAAATAAGTTAATTCTTTTCTTTCTGAAGATGTAGAGAAGGAAAAGAAATCTTTCTTGGTCCTGTACTTTTTATAATTAAAAGAGGCCATAAAATAATTTTGTGTTCATGCACTTCGTGGATTTATTGCTCTCATGCCTGGTTGAAATAAACTTTCTTGAGAAAAACTCTGCATTTCCAAACTATTCATTGCTGGGGTTTGCAGTTTAAAATTTTGCACTTCCCAAGCCACATCTTCTCTGCATAATTTGGGAAACCAAATTTAGAATGCATAGAGCGGTGCAGATTTTTCCTTGGCTGGTGGTATAGGGTTGGATGAAAACTAGGTTTATAGTCATAAGAAAAATGCATTGGTCAAAGAAATGCAAGTTTTTCTTTATGATTTGGGCCTCTCCATGAGCATAACTAATCTTCTCTGTCAGAAGAATGGAAAAAAACTTTTAAGAGGAAAAATAAAGAGGATTTGGAGTTCATCTATTCGCTTTGGGATGGAAGCATCTTGACTGAGAATGGCTGAGTTGGCTCAACATACTGCTTCAGATGTTCACCGAATCGTGGTTTGAAGAATTCACCCAAATGACAACATTCTCACAACACGCTAAGCCACAGCTGGCCAATCCCATTAAGCCGAAAGCAGTGTTTGACCGCTTGAAGATGTGAGGTCTTCAACTCCCAGCTATTCCCCAGCTGGGGAATTCTGGGAGTTGAAGTCCTCACATCTTCAAGCAACCACAGTTTACAAACAATGGCCTACATATTAAACTGGAAAGCCAATTTGGCATATCTCAACCTTGGCAACTATTTAAGACTTGTGGCTGGGGAATTCTGGGAGTCGAAGTCCACATATTTTAAAAGTTGCCAGAAGTTGAGAAACTGCTCTAGTATTGAAGGTACCAGACCAGAAACCAGGAGATGATGAGTTCTAGTCCTCCTTCAGGCATGAAAGCTAGTTGGGAGATTTTGGGCCAATCACCAGGAGACTGGGAGTTCTAGTCCCACCTTGGGCATGAAAGCCAGGTAGGTGTCTTCAGAACAATCATGCTCACAACTCAGGTGACAGGTCGACTCCTGTCATAACCAATCGGTCAACACTCAGTTGATTTGAAAAAAACAACAGGTCCTGCGCTGTAGGAAGAGAAAAATAGGTGATCTCGGGTAATATGTGCGAAAGCACTTGTCTAGATTCACACATTTCACCTTAAAACTGGGTTTCATCGATTTGTGTTGGCATACGCCCCTAGAAAAGAAACAGATGTCTGGATTCAACCCAAACATTTTTTTAAAAAGTTTCTCCTAAAAATAAGTTAGTTGCGCCTCCTTGTGTTGCTTCGATGAGAGACCTCGGGTGTACAAAGCCGGCTTGTCGAACGAGCGTTAAACCTGATTCACACACTGCAAAGCTGTGGTTTGGCTGCAGTTTACTGCAAGAAACCACAATTGTTGGTTCACCCAATGAGAACCTAAACCAGTGTTTCTCAACCTTGGTAGCTTGAAGATGGGTGGACTTCAACTCCCAGAATCCCCCAGCCTGGGGGATTCTGGGAGTTGAAGTCCACCCATCTTCAAGCTACCAAGGTTGAGAAACACTGAACTAAAGCAATTACAATATCTCTTTTAATGAAAGAATCTAGTTTAATGAAAAGAAGGACTAGGAGTGACATGATAGCAGTGTTCCAATATCTCAGGGGCTGCCCCAAAGAAGAGGGAGTCAAGCTATTCTCCAAAGCACCTGAAGGCAGGACAAGAAGCAACGGATGGAAGCTAATCAAGGAGAGAAGCAACATAGAACTAAGGAGGAATTTCCTGATAGTGAGAACAATTAACCAGTGGAACAAGACTTGCCTCCAGAAGTTGTAAATGCTCCAATACTGGAAGTTTTTAAGAAGATGTTGGATAACCATTTGTCTGAAGTGGTGTAGGGTTTCCTGCCTAAGCAGGGGGTTGGACTAGAAGACCTCCAAGATCCCTTCCAACTCTGTTTTCTATTTCTATTTCTATTCTTAGTTACAATGGCTGGAGCCTGCCAACACGAATGACAACGGAATTGTTTGATGGACCACTGGGTGGTGCAATTTCCTTACTGTACAAGAACGAATGTATTTCTTTTGTAGGAATAGATCAAAATACCTGGCATCTTTTAGAGAAAGCCCACCATCCAGTGCTTTTCGTTTCCTATTTTCCTGAAGTCGGTTGATTTATGCTACTCTTCGGAGTAAACCAGGGGTGAAATCCAGCAGGTTCTGGAGAACCGGTAGCGGAAATTTTTTTTAAAAAAAATTTTTATTAGAAAGTACAAACAAACGAACAACAAAACATACAAACAAGTAAACAAAAATAATCTATGCATCTTCTTTTCAAACTTGTCGCATCGGTAATCTATATTCTTGTTTATACCTTTACTCTTTCTTATTTTAACCTATCTCTTATATCTATATTCCTAATACATCATCTCTATATATTCTTAAGGTAGAACTGAAGGAAGCTTCTTGGATGAGAAGCAAAACCTTTTCAAAAGAAAATAAAAAACAAGAAAGTTCAGTTGCCCCTTTGGAAAAGCACCTGTATGATTTTGAATCTCCACAGACATTTATGACTTATGGACTTCAATTCCCAGAATTCCTGAGGCAGGTGGCTCAGGAATTCTGGGAGTTGAAGTCCACAGGTGGTTAGAGGAGCCATAGCGGCCACCCCTGATCTATACAGCTTTCTTGCTCCCATCTTTCCAGCAAATGAAACCCTGCTAAATTTCTTTCTCACCAGGATTTCCTGGAAGTTCACATGGAATCCAGGATCTCTAAGCCCTCTTCTTTGAATTTGTTCCACCTTTTCTGTAGGTCTCCAGAGTCGCCAGAGCCTGCAGCTGTCTCATCTTACATCTTATGGAATGGTCTAAGTTCACAGTATACTTCAGGAATTCCTTCCCTTCTTGAACGGTGAAGAGGAAATCCATGGACAAGAATTTCTCAAAAAGTTCAGGGTCACCATCCAAGGCCATGACGTTCTGGAGTTCCTTATGCTTGGAGAACAGCTCAGGACACGTCTCCACAAAGACGTCCCACATCAACAACTTCTCATAACCGTCGGGCGGTTGGCCCTTCAGTGTGTCTTCCATGCGTTGGAGGATCCAACTCAAGCGACACGGCCATTGGTTGGCCAATACCACCCAACTGGCCACATTACAGGGAGAGACGTTGCGCCTCAACAGGGGCTGTTGCGTCATCAACCTGATCGTAATGGGGATGGTGTTGATGATCCTGGTCATCTGGATAATGCTATCTGGGACATAATGGTGGAGACGACCCTCTTCATCTTCCAAGCATTCGAAAGCTTTACGGATATACGTGGATGCCAGTTTATCGATCTGGACTTGCGTGTCCCTCAGTGCTTCGACATTCATCCCCAAGGAAGGAATCCCTTCCCTTACATTTTTGAGAGCTTCATGTTTCTGCAAGGTCTCCTTCAAACAATGCATCTTGGACTTGATGGCGATTTCCGGGATGGAGAAAGGAAGCGTCACGGTGCGGTTGAGGTATAGGTAGCCGTTGTCCGCCATTCCCTTCACGCTGCTCGCCTGCTCCAAGGAAGAGACGATGTCGGAGGGGTCAACCACCAGGATGAAGATGAAGGGGGCATTCCTGTTGGAAAGGAGCGTATTGATGGCGTTCAACACCCCAACCACCTGTTCGGGGTTGCATATATCTAAACCTGTAATCTTAAAGACAATCTTGAAGCGCCGTTTCTCGAAGATTTCCATGAAGTAGATAAAGCTGGTGAGGACCTCAATCTCGCGCTTCACTGCACTCCTAAAACCCAGCTGTCTGGTGAACTTCTCATCGTTGGTCATGCTCTCGATCTTCTTTTTCTGGCTGATGATTAAGTGCTTAATCACGGGACTGATGGCGATGACGAAGCCGGAGCCCAAGATGACAGCAATGCCGCTACCAAGGTACTTCAAGAGTGTGCCATCCCTTATCCCTGGCACGAAGAGGGCGATAGTAACCAGGCCTGCACCAGCTAGCAAAATAATTACCACGAGTCCTCCGGTGATACAGCACGTTTTCCTTTTAAGCCTCCACTCTTTTTGGGCATATAATCCCGAGACGAAATCTGGAGGGCTTCCTACCACATGATAGAAACTCAGCGGAAGAGGACCGAAGTGGTGGCGGATATGGTCACACAGGCTGGTGACCAACCCCGCCCACAACTGGTTGTTGCAGGCATACTCCCAGGCGCTGAATTTTATGAAGAGGAACTTGATGGTTTTTCTCTGGAGGTGCTTCTTGGTGACGACAGGTTGGCAGAACAGGATGTACCAGAGGAGGGTCAGGTAGCTCCTCCTTTGTGGGAGTTGGAACTTTCGGCTTTCTTCTTCCCTTCGGATGGATTCTTTGAGCATCTGTCCTGCAAAAATGAGTTCAGAGAACATCTGCCAAGTTCTCAATGATTGTCTATCTAGAGAAGAGAATATTTGTAGCTCAGGGTTGAAATGTGGGGCCCTTGGTGCTCTCCAAGCTTGGTGGTCTTCTTGCAAATGTTTCATAATCCAATTAAGTAACATCATCAGATGATGTTACCTGGGTATTAAAACATCTTTAAAAAAACCTCAACAAGCTCAAAGAGCACTAAGGACCACACAGTTGTTGTCCTTCTTCTCCTCCTTCTCCTTCCCCTTCCCCTTCTCTTCCTCCTTCTCCTCCACCTGCCTTCTCTATCTCCTCCTCCTCCTCCTCCTCTCCTCCTCTTCCTCTTCCTCCTCTTCCCCCTCCCCTCCCCCTCCTCCACCATCCTTTCTAGCACTGATGATGTTACTTTATGATGCCAATCATGCAAGTTTTGTGATGGCATGATGACTCCTGTAAGGTCGCTTCTTCTCTTTCCCAGAGACCCATGGATGGAAGGAGGACCCTTCTACTAAGTAAGGGGTCTTACATAGATGGATTCCCCACTGATTCTCTCAGTCTGGGACTGACCTGCAACCTTTTCCATTAAGGAGTGAACACGTGTTTTGTATGGTGAATAGAAACCTACGGTGACCGGGGTGGAGGTATAGCACAAAGTCTTCAGTAAACAGGAGCAATAAATCTCATCCTCGCTCAGGAGATCTGAAGAGTGGGGAAAAAAGAAAAGAAAAGAATGGAAAATACCCATGTATCAGTGTCACTCAGTACAGCAATGAAAAAAGTGACTTATGACCAGTTCCTGCACTTATGACCATCATAGCATCCTCATGATCGTGTAATCAAAATTCAGGCACATGTATTTATGAATATGTCCCGGGGTCATATGATCACCATTTGCGACCTGGCTAGCCGGCTTCCAACAAACAGTCAATGGGGGAAGCCAGATTCATTTAACGACCGGATGATTCACTTAATAACTGCAACGATTCGCTTAAAAACCACCATACAAAAAAAGGTTGTTAAAATCAGGCGCAACTCACTTCATTGCCTTGCGTAGTAATGGGAATTCTGGTCCCAATTATATGGTCGTAAATCTCTTCTTGTGTAAAGTAGTCTTTTTTAACCTCAGGAAATTTACAAAGCATGGACTTCAACTCCCAGAATTCCCCAGCCAGAATTCTTTAAGATGGCTGGACTTCCATTCCCAGCATGGCTGGGCTGGGGAATTCTGGGAGTTGAAGTCCACAAGTTGCCAAGACTGAGAAACACTACTAGCCCTAAACTAAAGCATTACTATGGAAAAACCATCCCTGACAGGCCTTTTGTTCCCCAGAGATCTGCCAGAAGAAAAAAAAAATCATTTGAGAGTAATTAGGATAATTATCTTGTGTTACTCATCCTATTGTAAATGCTTTAGAGCAAAGCTGAGATTTCCTCAGTATTTTTTCCCCTCAGGTGGTTTTCTCCTGTCTAGAAGGAGCTGAGTGTTAAGCATCCGATAATTTTTGTAATTATCAAATTTATTTGCCGCCCATCTTGCAGTTCAAGATGACTCTGGGCAGCTTGCCACAAGATAAAACACGCAAACGTTCAACAATGATGACTATAAAAATGGATTAAAAACACACACATCAAAAAGACTAAGGCTTTTAGGCTTTAGGATACCACATTTATTTTTGGTGCGTTTTCTGGATGGAAAATCAAAATTTTATCCGTGACCTTGAAGGCAGTTTCTGGGCTGGAGAAAACATGGTTTTGAGGTTGACCTGTGTCTAGTTTTGCTCTGTTTTATTATGACAGTCAATAAAGTCAACATGGCAGCTGTCAGAGTTGAACATCTGTCTGATTTTTTTTTATGGACACTAAACAGTGGGGTCCTTGTGTGTAGATCAATTCCATTGTGACTTAGCTCAACAAAATCTTTTGGTTAGCTCCTGCTTGTATTCTGGATTTCTTCAGAATATGAAATAATTTAGATTTATAGTTCTAGGTGACATTCTCACATGAGGGAACAATATTTCAACCATCTACGCAAGCTGTGCTTTTTGAAACGGTGTCCCCTCATTGTGTGGACTCCCCAAATTTGATCCTTTGCAAGTTTCCTCTCCTTGCATGCCGAAATATAGCTTCGTCAGGAACACCACTTCCTTAGCAGCTAGTTTTCCACTTGCAAGGAATGTTGCTGTAGAGATGGGTGTCTCTCAGAAACCCTCACACTCGACCCGCAGCCTGAAATTTTATCTCAAGCGCGGATCAATTTGCCCTGATGAATTTATTAACCTAATTATAGCAACGACACGAAGACAACTGTGTATTTCGGTTTATATTTTGAAATCATGTATATCACATCAGTGGTGGAAACATAAAAGGAAGGGAAAGTCCCTCAATCGTTAACAACTTGACACAGCACATATTTCTTTTTTCTCGCCCAGTTAAAAAGTGTGTCTCATTAAGGTGAGATTGACTCAGGATTAATAATTCAGGACAATAGCCACAAATGTCTTTGCAAATAAACTTATGAGCCAGCAGGAATAGAGAGGATCTGATTCTGCACCAAAATAAATAACAAAACTCCTCAATTTACAACCACAATGGAGCCTGGCAATTAAGGTCGTAAATGATGATAGTTGTACAGTCAGTTATCACTTTGCAACCTTTTTGGTGGCGGTCATTAAGCAAAACCCACCTATGAGTTCCCTGTTTTGTGCCAGCATTTTCATTTCATTAGTTTCTGAACTAGTGAACCAAGTTTTGTAATGACTTGAACTCTAAGACGTTTGTGACTTTAAATTCCCTTCTTATTGGAAATAAATGTTGTTTTTTAAAAATGCAATAGGAGGTTTAAAAAGCCAAATGCAAGTCATATCATTATCTTTGCTTTTAAAAAATGTTCTTCCCAGATGTTTTTTTTCCCTCCTGCTAAGAAAATTAAATGCCTGCGATCTTAAAGAAACTGACTCTAAAAATGACAGGGATTTGTTAAAGATTTAAAAGACAAAAAAATTTGTCTTTTAAATGGGAATTTTAAATTTGGTTTTAAATTATTGGGGTTTTAAATATGGTTCAGCCAAATTTATCTAACTTGTTTTATTTCTATTTTAAATTTTGTATTTATATGTTTTATTTCATGGCTGTTCACCGCCCTGAGTCCTTCGGGAGTAGGGCGGTATACAAATTTAATAAAATGTAAATGTAAAAATGTAAAAGAAGCCAAACTGGTTATAATCTAGACTGGAGTATGGTTGTCCAACCTTTGGGCTTGTCTGGGATGCATTGAGTGAAGAGGGATTGTCCTGGGCCGCGTACAAAATACCAAATATAGGTAGTGTATAGAAATAACACTTAATTTTTAAATATTTTTTATTATCATGTGGGGCTGTATTACTAGCTGTCCAGGTCTTTTTGTGGCTGTGGGATGTGGGTTGGATATGGCTGGTTTAGATATTGCAATAACCTAAAGTGATGCAAAAATTTGCAAAATGTTATTTAACAATTATAATTAGACAATAAGGTGGGCTGATTATTTGGCCCTAATTTCATGCACTCTAAAAGAAACATGCCAAGGAACAAAATAATAGCAATTTAAGAGTCATTAAATGGGTTGTTTGCAAAGCCTGTAAGGGAAGACATAATTTAAAAAAAAAAATGGAAAGGAAGCATTTAAGACTTTATTATGCTAATGAAGAAAACAATTTCTGTTAATCCTGTTTGGAAAACATACGTTAATTACTCTCCTCCTACAGGAACTATTGCAAATGTTAGAACGGTTAGAACGGTTACCTAACCTTCCCTTAAGATTAAAAGAATTCTTAAGAAAAGTTTAGGTAACCGTTCTAATGTTTGCAACAGACCAACACAAGTCTGTTTCAAAGGGCTGATAAAAAAGGCTATTGGTCAGGTAGTCCTTGATTTACAACCAACAGTTTAGAGACTGTTCAAAGTTACAGCAGCACTAAAAAGCTGATTTACAATCAGTCCTCGGACTTATAACCGTTGCAACATCCCAAGGTCACATGATCAAAGTCCAGATGCTTGGCAACTGGCATGTATTTATGACGGTTGCAGCGTCCCGAGGTTATGGGGATGGTCATTGGCAACCTGGGCCTGTCGGCGTCCTTTTGTGATAGCCCCTTAAATTAAATTTTAATGCACAGGTAATCTTGGATTTATGACCTATATTGGGACCCGAATTTCTGTTGCTAAGCAACACAGTTGTTCAATGAACCACGTCTGATTTCATGACTTTTTTGGCCCTTGTTGTTAAATCCCGGCAGAAGTTAAGTCGATCACGCGGTCGTTAAGCGAATCCAGCTGCCCACCCTCCCCCCCCATTGACTTTGCTTCTATTGGCTGGGAAGGTGACAAATGACGATCACGTGATCCCAGCACATTGCAACCACCGGAAATATATGCTGGTTGCCACGTGCCCAAATTTTGATGAGGCCACTATGGAAATACTGTGATAGTTGTCAGTGTGATGACTGGCTGTCAATCACTTTTTGTAACTTCAACCCAGAGGTGGGTTTCAGCAGGTTCTGACCAGTTCTGGAGAACCGGTAGCGGAAATTTTGAGTAGTCCGGAGAACCGATAGTAAAAATTCTGACTGGCCCCACCCCCATCTATTCTCTGCCTCCTGAGTCCCAGCTGATCGGGAGGGAATGGGGATTTTGCAATAACCTTCCCCTGTCACGCCTACCAAGCAATGCCACGCCCACCAAGCCACACCCACAGAACCGGTAGTAAAAATTTTTGAAACCCACCACTGCTTCAAACGGTTGCTAAATGAATGATTGTAAATTGAGGAATATCTGTACCAAGTTAGATTTTTTTTTGGAAGAAGTGGCTTAAAAGGAGCCTTGGTGGCGCAGAGGACTAAAGTGCTGTTAAAGTAGAACTTAGTTGCCAGCTGCCTGCAATTAGTGTGAGTTCAAATCTCACCAGGCTCAAGGTTGACTCAGCCTTCCATCCTTCCGAGGTAGGTAAAATGAGGACCCGGATTGTGGGGGCAATAAGCTGACTTTGTATAAAAAAGAACACCGCTTAGGGGGTGGGGCGAAAGCCCTACTAAGCAGGTATATACAAAAGTATGAAGGCTATTGCTTAACGTATTGTAAGCCGCCCTGAGTCTCCGGAGAAGGGCGGCATATAAATCGAACCAATAAATAAATAAATAAATCCTTGCTTCCTTCCATTTGACCAAATTCAGCAGTTGTGAATTAAACGCTGAGCTTACCTTCATCCTGGCATTCGTCATGGATAAAGTGGCCGTCCTGGTTTAAGGACAGGCTCCCCGCTTTTTGGCCCTCCGGCATATGGGGCAGCCCGGCGGCTTCCTCATCACAGTTACTCATCAGTTCTGGACCATCAAAGGCGCTTTCCAGGCAAATTGGAGGCTGCCAGGAGGAGATAAAGCAGACAGGTGATTTAACCTGGTTACCTGAGACAGGTAAGCTTCTAATGAGAATGGAGGAACAAAATATGTCTATCGAGCCACATCTGGGATGTATGCATTTGCAGCATTAGGGTTTTTTGCTCTGACTTTTTCTTGTTTCCAGTCTTCAGGTTAGAAAAACCGGGTCCATTGAGTGAAAAAAGGAAGGAAGGAAGGAAGGAAGGAAGGAAGGAAGGAAGGAAGGAAAGAAAGAAAGAAAGAAAGAAAGATAGGAAGGAAGGAAAGAAAGGAAAGAAAGAAAGAAAAGGAAGGAAGAAAAAGAAAAAGAAGGAAGGAAGACAAAAGAAAGAAGGAA